GTAGTACTACGATTTATCTCGACTGTAGCTTAAAGGCGGGAGTCATAGTACTACGATTTATCTCGACTGTAGCTTAAAGGCGGGAGTCGTAATACTACGATTTATCTCGATTGTAGCTTAAAGGCGGGAGTCATAGTAATACGATTTATCTCGACTGTAGCTAGTGCACGGATTGGGCAATGTGATTTGCAACCACATTTCGCAATCCATGCGCCAGTTTACGTTTGTATTTAGTATGTTTTGTGGTTTTAAAAGCTGTTCGGTTGTTCAAATTCTACTTACAGTAAATTTTGAAATCCTTCAATACGGTTTCACATGAAAATAAAGATATATATACAGATGATTTGATGAACATTGAAGAGCCACAACCTGGTACATCGAACTTGGCACCATGGACTCCACGATATAAAATTGATCTGCCTGGACATCTTTCGCTAGATATCAAAAAGCGCAAATAAATTAGGATAGAAAATAAAGACAAAAAGCTATATACCCAACGAAACTGCGTAGTTTGTGCGGCACATAAAAAAAAGGAAGTTGACTTGCTTCAAATGCGAATTTTGCGTTGCACCTATTCACCGTGGCCAGTGTTATCAACATTATCACACTCATAAAAAATACTAGATTCTTCTCATAAATATGTACTTTAAAACATTTTTTGTAATTAGTGTTTAGTTCTTTTTTAATATTTCCTGTAGTTTTAAGAGTTTAAATAAACTTTTAAGTCTAATTTTTTTTATGATTACACAAAATATCGCCTGCTCTAGGATGAAAAATGAGGCGAAGCGGTCGCTGCGTTACCTAGCATACTTTCGTCAAGATCCCCCACCTTTAATGTGTTAACGGAGCCCGTGTAGTGATCTCATAGCAACTGCTCTTCTTTGTTATATGTCGAGAGAACTGGACAGTAATGAGCTCTTCTAAAAAGTGTACTTTTTCTACACCTTTTGCTCGAAATGTAAAAAAGGTACACTTTGAGCAAAGTGAACTTCTTTTTTTCCAAGTTTCCCTTCTCTGCTGCAAACAGGACAAGTTTGAAGTTGAGAAAATAATTCACAAGGATCAGTCGTGAATCTTTGTTTTAAAAATTTTGACATATTAGAATAAGTTGCTTTTTGTTTCTGTCATTGTATCTTGTAAACTCATTCTTAAAAGCAGCAGCTACAGTGTATATATTGTTTCGAATTTTGTACATAGATAGATAATTTTAGTGCAATAGTTTTCTGTGTAATGTAACATGAAAAATTTTAAAGAGACAAGCTATGCTGGAAAAGTAAGAATACAGGGAAAATTCCATTTAACAATGAGTAACTGGGTATCTCGGTAATTTGGCGGCAAATTGCCAAAACTCGCCAAACTTAGTGAGCATTTGGCGACATTTTGGTCTGGTCCCTGTATCATCATAATAGGTATTGTAATTGAATAAGTGTAATTGATCACTGTATTAGCTGTAACTGTAATTTGACCCTCATATTGCCTTCTGGTAATTTTGAGAAGCAGAAAGTACTTGAAATATCTTGGCGGCCAAATGAAAGCTATATAAGGCTGCAGAGAGCATCTGCTCTCAGTTGTGGTTACGAGTTGTTAGTTCAGCATGAATTCGAAGAACTGAGATATCACCGGGTAGCTTTCTCTTAGATGCGCTTTGCATTGCATTGTGTTTAACATTCTTAGTATTTTGTGGTGCAACTACTGATTGTACTCTTGATACTATTAAAACCTGTGTGAATATCTCTGTAGAAAATTCCAGCTCTGTGAAATATTTCTTTTCATAAAATAAATTTTATCAGACTGTCATTGGATCTGTGTGCATACAATCATCTATCATGAACCCATACGCACACAACAATATATATGTATAAATATATGGCTGAATGGTTAGAGATTAGCAAATAAGATGTTCTAAATAGATAAAGATATTTGAAAGATTTTTTCTTTAATGTCATAATAAATTCTATTAAAAAAATTGTTGCATAGTTAAATGTAATTATTCTTTTTCTTCCCTAAAGTTGACAATCGTCTTTTAAAACTTAGATTTTAAAAGTAGAATTTTATGTTAAAGGTTGCATTTTATGTTACATCCTCTGTAATATTATATTTCTGCCTGTTGCAGTTTTTTATGCATGTACTGTTATGCTTCTGCTTTTGCATTTTGTCGCAGTCCCCTACCCCCCCAAAAAGTTTAAAACTTGAAGAAGTTGTTTCTAAGTTACAAGTGAAACAAAGGAGAATGGGCTGTAATATGTTAAAAATACAACACCTTCCAATATGGTAATTGTTTACCATGGGCATTTCAGATCAGTGCTTTGTGTATGTAGTGCTTTACCGGAAAAAAATATTTTTAGTTTTTCATCTTTGGATCTTTTTTTAGTCTTTCATCTTGAAATATATTTGGAAGTAATTATACCGATGTGCAAAACTTAAGCAACAATGTAAATTTTTATCAGATAGCCATTAAATTGTAGAAAAAAGGTTCTTGTGATCAGTACAATAAACAAATAATTCAGTAGAAAGATCATGCATATACAAATATCGGGAACAAAACGTCACAAGTGACGTGAGCACATGCAAAACATATAAGGTTGGTGCACACAACTCAAGACTACAATAAGAGGAAGGACAGAGATGCGATTAAAGACATTCACTGCGAGTTCTTTCATGAAATATGACTAGAAGAAATCACCTGGATGACTTCATACATGGAAGAATGATCGGTAAGCTAGAGGAGGGGCATAGTGTGCCCAGTGTAGCTGAAGAATTCAGAATCATCAAAAATGTAATTTCTCACACTTAAAAAGCATTCTAAACCAATAGGTACAGCATTAGAAAGGTTGGTGGCCCAAGAAAACAACTGCAATGAATAACCAACAAATGGTCCAACAAACGAAGAGAGCCTGAAGCCAGTCAATGAGCACCATAGCTCAACAGCAACTGTGTACAGCAACGGGTAGACAAGTGTCAAAGGTGGTCTATTCGCCCGCCATCCTGAACACTGCATCCCTTTGAAAGTTGGCCATCAGGACCACCATTTAGAGTGGTGCAAGGAGCAAAAAAACTGGACATCTCATCAATGGAGTTGCGTCCTCTTTAAGGATGAGCGTTGTTTTAGACCACAAGCGATTCTCAATGCCAGTTAATTTGGAGAGCAGTCAGAACACAGTTTCATCCCAGTAACATCACAGAAAGAGATGGATACGGTGGTCCTGGTGATCTCGTCTAGGAAGGCATACTGAACAGGGCTCCACATTTTCGATAGAGGTTCTGTAACTGAAGATTGCTATTGTCAGGAGATGATCCTTTCCCATGTGCGTCTGTTCTGAGCTGCTATTGGAGCAGACTTTGTTTTTATGTAAGGCAATGCATAGCCACACTGAACTCCTGCTGTTCAGAACCTACTGGAAAGTGAAGACATCACTCAAATAGATTGGCCAGCATACTAGATGAGACGTACAACAACTAAAACAGATGCTGAATTAGGAATGGACACTCTTACCTCAAGATCTGTTGGACAACCCGTTGGTGAGTATGGAGAGATGGTGTGAAGCAACCATTGCAGTAAGAGGAGGGCATATCCTATACTAAGAAACATCTGCTTGTTGTTCTTATACACAGTCACGTGTAGCAACACTATGAATTCTCTAAAGCGCTTTTGTTTTGATTCCATACTGTATGCACTGTAATAATTTTTTTTCAACTATGCTTTCGTCATTGTTTACATGCAAAATGCTGTTCTCATTTTTGAATTTCATGTCTGTCAGGTGATTTCTCGTGGAGTTATGACAAAAAGAACAACTGTTGCTTAAGTTTTGCACATCAGTATATATGGTACAGTGCATGATACACTTCATTATTTTCTTTAATACCAACAGTATGAATAATATTTCACTTAATATCTACTATATTTATGTATATCATACAAATATTGCATTAAATATAAAGCTTTTTGAATTAGCTGGGCCTTTACATAACTGTAGTTAGAGCCTTTTGCCGCAAATACAGGGCGTGACTATATTTGATGTCTGGCTTATGAAGCAGAGTTATTTTTCATTCATGTTTTCTGAAATATATTCCTATCCTTTGTATATTTACTTGCATGCGATACTTTTTGTCTTAGTCTCCAGCAAACTGGTGCTGTAGTATTTTTTGCTAGGTAATGAAAAAGAATAAATCGCAGAATGGTGGCATGCATAACCATTATTCATAGTTATTGGTGCATAGGTATTGAAACAATGTCAGACAAAATTTGTGATAAAAATTGTTTTTGTAAAATGAATTCAGCAGTAGGAAGCCATGAGCATAGTGTGTGCGTTTCTTGTCAAATTCCTTATGTGCTTGAAGTGCCACTACATTCAGGCAGAGGGTTTGTTTGGTTCATATATTATGCAGTTTTCCCTTTTTTAATGACACTGAATGTTACTGATTACATCAGAATTGTATTAAATTTGTAAAGAAACTTAATGACTATTATGCTGCTCTACAATGACTTACTTGCTACAAGATGGTATCTCAGATGAAAAGAGGAATGCAGTTAAATTTTTTTGGATACTAGATCACTCTGATGGTTGCAGCTATGAAAAATCAGGCATTTCCTTTTGGAGTGGCATTTCCTTTCCTTTATATAAAGGTAAAGTATCTGTCAGCAAGTGACATATTGTGCCATGAACAGGCATTTGATGAAGCAGCAGCAGCTGGTAAACACAGCCACTTTGCTGGTCCTTTCTGTAACCCTGCAGTGCAGCATTCACCTTTGTCTGGTTTTCAGCACCTTATGTAATATAGTCATGTTTCTGATAGAATAGAGAGAGTTTGTTTATATGTGTATACCCTACATATGATGCATGATGTCTGAAAAACAAATTCTGGGATCTTAATTGGGAAAGAATCACTTTGTATATAAAATGTTTTTCATATCCTAGTTTTTTTTTTTATCTTCAGTACACATTTAATATGTTAGGAGTTTCATTATCACTGCTTAATATATGAATAATATATTGTTCTAGGAGACAAGCATGCTTGAAAGATGTGAAGTTGCAGAAAGTAGTAACTGTGATAAATTACATAACTGTCATGCGTGCCATACTGAATATCATTGTGGTTGGCAAACAGATGAAAAGTGTTACACATTTGTTCGTGAATCAAGTAATTTTATTTTCTATATTTCCTGTAAATATATGTTATTTTCCCAGTGGATTAATAAATTCTGTATTTTACTTTTCTAATCTGTCATTTTACATAATATTTAGCTAAGTTGTGGAGACATTAGGTATTTTTTTGAGGCCGGAGAGATTGAAAAATTAGCAACATCTTTGCAGGGAATCGAACCATGGACCTCTATAATACCGGCTCAGCGTGCAGAACCACTACACCACAAAGGCAAGCTAGGAAGGCAGAAGAAATACCTTATGAAGTATTTTGTCTGCATGTGAAATTTGAAAATTTTAATTCGTCATCAGCCCTTTTTTTTTCCCCTTCTTTTTTATGTTATGCTGTACTTAGGCAGGAAGAATAATGTGCATAACATTTGATGGTGTTCCTGATTTATTTTTATTCTTTATTATCATTAGAGGGAATGCATAATTTTGCTATTGTAATATGTGGCCTGCTGTGTATTCTATTTTTATTTTTAATCATGTTAAAACTTCATGTGTTAGTCATACATAGGTCAAGCTATGTCATCAGTGTGATTTTTAGTGCTTGGTTTTGATGCAAGCAAAATTATTTATTTTATATATAGGTAAATATTTTCAGTGTAATTAAAGAAAGGAAAATATGAAAGGAAAAAAAAAATTTATAGCTTTTCCTATTAGGAACACTGGATAGCAAGTAGAACATTCCTTTGGAGAAGAAATGACCAGTTAACAGTGTTGATTGGTTGTTGAGGCAGATTTTCTTTCGACCATCCATTAATTGAACATCTGCACACTTTCATGAATTTTTTATACTTTTTTTTAAAAAACTGCTCTAGCTCTTAAGCTTTTAAATCTTAATGTGCAAAATTATTTTTCTTCTTCAAATTTTGAAATTTTTTTTGCAAAATGACTAAACTAATGTGATCCAACCTGTAGTTACCCGAGAGCCAATCAAATGTTTGTATGTTAGAGTTAGCGCCAGAGACATTAAAGAAAGAAAATGAATTGCATATAAATCACTAGTTTCTTAATACTCATGCCCAATGTTTTCTTTTTTGAGGAATGCAAGAATTTCACTCCTCAACCCAAAAAACTGTTGCAGACAATTTCCAGCACTTAGCCAGCACACTTGACAGTACAATAAAATGTCACCATACTCAGCATCCAAATTGTCCACAAATGAAATAAATGCTCTGAGTCTTTGGGCTTTGCCTTCCCTTATTAAATTTACAATATTTACAACAGTTTTCATTCTCTCAGTGAGCCTTAATATAATTATTTATTATTTAAAGCAGTAAGAAGGGTATTTTGTTTTTCCAAATGTTTAAAATTTTTTTTTTCCCAGTAAAAAGGGCAAGTGCCAACAAAATGAATAAAAGGGCCGCATGTGGGCCACAGGTTGGACCACGCTCTACTAAACAATGTGGCACAGCAAAATTTCCTTAGATTGTGATTTAAATAATACTTCTTGTTGTGAATAATTTTAAAAAAATGTTTTTAATTGTGAACCATATGAAATTTCTTAAAAGTATGTTTAACAATTATTGATGTATGATTAGTGTAAAATATAATTGTTTCAAAAGCTATATTCGTAATTTAATGTTAACCGTTTCAGTGGATATAAAGAATCAGTTTTATTTTCCTACGGTTGTTATTTAAAATGGCCAGACATTTGAAGCTTAATACATTCAATAGGAAGGACTAAGCTTATCAGTCATACAACTGTGTCATCATTGAGAAAGTTGCCCAGGCTGTGACTGAATTACTCAAAAAAGAAGTTCTGTCCCTATTTTGATGGAGAACATCCGTGAGGATAGATTCAAGGAGTCTTCTACCACAAAACCCTCGAGGACTTAAAGCTCAATATTTTAAGTGCCCCTACTGCAGAAAAATAACATACATTTATAAATAAAATTCTTCTGATTCCCAGGCCCAAGATTTTGACATTTGTCTTCCCTACAACCAAACCATCACAGTGGCATTTTCAAACATTTTATAGTTTTGTTAAGTACGATTGTGTTTAGTAATGATACATCTTATAATAAATTCTATATTTTTTAGAGCAGTATTTGCACATGCAGTATTTGCAACCACATGAAAGTGGTTGCATAGAATTTCTTTGTGTTTCCTGAGAGGTCCTACATTTGTTTCATTCGTGGTTCTTAAAAATCCTTAATTCTATTTAAAGAAATGTGTACAAGTCACGCATGTGCCTTGAAGAACAATTTACTGTTCTTGATCTGCAATGTAAAGTTTACGCAGCTTTAAAACCAGCTAGAAGTTTTTTTTTTTTTTTTTTTTTTTTTTTGTTGTTGTTGTTGTTGACATGTGTGTGCTTCTCTTTGCAAGGACATAAGTAGGCATAACCAGGGGTTCTGTAATGAGAAAGAATCTGCTGAAATACAGTTTTTATGTGACATGCAGAAAGGGGACACAAAGAAACCTGGTGTTCCTCAACTTCCTTACTAATTCTTAGTCTGTGCAGATTTGCAATATTCAGAATAGTGTAATTAATTAAATCAATTATCACATTATTGCTCTTCTCTTTTTCAGCAAAATTTTTTAATTTATAAATTTTTTAAAAGTGCACATTAACCCTCTGACGCGCAGTAGTCGTGTTCTGAAACCACCAATTTTTAAATTTTTTTCTTGTCTTTCTGAAATTTTTGAGTGAAAATCGATTGCTGATCTTTTACCTCTAAATAACACAAAATGACTGCAGAATCATACATGTTTTAAGTCTTAATACTTCAGATTGGGTGCCTTTTAAAATTCGTTTTCGATGAGACAAAATAACTTCCTTTTATTAACATAAACAACTTTAAATTTCAAAAGTTATTCATTGCACATCATCATTTCTGATGTAAACAATAAAAAATTGCAATAATTAAACTTCGTATATATAAAAAAAAAAAAAAAAAAAAAAAACACCTATCTGTATTTATGGCATTTGCTTTGTGATTTCAGGGCGCGACCACTGTGCCACTAGAGCATTGTGTCAAAATGCTCACAATCCTCTAGAGGTTCGATGCTCGCGCCTTGAAATCACTGCTCTTCACAATGGTGTTTGCTTGCTTTTCAAATAGGAATATTTATTTTTAGCTGGATATAGATATGGGGCTTTGAAACCACAGAGTTATTTTATTACTAAACAATACATGCACCTGCCCAGTGAAAAGGTCTTTCTTTTCCAGAGATTTTTCTCTGACCTCAACACGCTTCCCAAGCTAGTATTGTGATTTTATAAATTATTTGGTGTGGTTTAAATTTAATGTAAACATACTTTGCTATAATTAAAATTAGAAAGACTTTTGAGACTTTTGAGAAATGTAAATGGAAGAAATCTACCTTTTCCTCTGTTAAACATCTGGGGTTGAGAAAGGAGTTCTACTTTATGTAACTGTATGGATGGGCTGCAGTTAGTTAATGGTTGTTGTACAAGGTGAGACCGAAAAGTAAAGTGACTGATGTCATAATAATAACTGTGTTATATGTTTACACATCAATACATCACTGTCCTTCAAAGTAGTTCCCACCATCTACAATACACGCCTGACAACGTTCATACAAGTTCTGGAAACTTTTGGAAAAGTCCTCCTTTGAGACTGTGTTAAGTTCCTTGCTAATAGCATCTTGAATGTCTGAGATGCTTGAAGATCGGTGTCCCTTTAGTGCTAATTTCTGTCGTGGAAAAAAGTCTGCTGGTGCAAGATCAGGGGAATAAGGAGGGTGAAGACATAAGAGAGCATTTTGTTCTTTCCACGACTGAAATTGGCACTAAAGGGACACAGATTTTCAAGCATCTGAAACATTAGTGCTGCTGTTAGCAAGGAACTTAACACAGTCTCTAAGGAGGAGTTCTTAAAAGTTTCCAGAACTTGTATGAGCGTTGTCAGTGTAGACGGCAGGAACTACTTTGAAGGACAGTGATGTATTTTATATGTAAATATATAATACAGTTATCATGGCATCAGTCACCTTACTTTTCAGTCTTGCCTTGTATACTACTGATTGATGCATTCTTCATTGAGCCAGTTTTATGAATTTCTTATTAAATTGTCTCACTGCATTGTGATAATGTGATTCAGCATTGATTGGTTTTCTCTAAATTTACATTCCAGTCTGTTCATGTACTGTCCTTGACTATGGAAGACATGTTCAGTCAGAAACATTTAATCCTCTAGCACTTATAATTAACTGGCCCATGTGATCTTTCACATGGTTGAAGGACAAGGTACCTCTGAAACTCAGCTGGTTGGCGAAAGTCTGCAAAATGAGGTATTTGGCAGATGGAAAGACGGGCCAAGTCTGCAGACCTGAACCTCAGTTATTCTTGCATCTGCCACAGGGACTGATCAGCTGTTTTGTTAACAGTATGATGACTTGCTGTGTGACCTGTATCTGCTAAGGATGATTATTATCTCCGATAGCCTCATTGACGAGTGCCATCTTGTAATATCAGTTTTGACAGTTCTATTCTCAGAGCATAACTTATGATCATCAGTGAGTGCTTTGAACATTCTGAGTCAGTGCATTGTTATGAGCGTAACAGGTACATTTTGTAACAATAAAAACCATCCTGTTTGATTCCAGCTCTTCTGTTAATCAATGAAAGTCATGCTTTATTTAAGACAATTTTATTACATTTCTTGTTTTGAACCAAAAATATAAACATATGTTTTCCCTTGATTTTGTAAATTCACATAGTGTGCATTAGGTCAGCATTTTTCATGCATTGATTCTGCTTTAGAGTGATCTTCCTAAATTATATATGTGTTACATTAAAATAATATACAATATTTAAGCTTACAAGTGTCACAATATAGTTTTTGTATTTATGCGTATCTTAGTATTATACAGCCCCTATTTCAAATAAATAATTTGTTTTAAAAATTTCTATAAGTTTTACTACTGAAAAAAAGTAACAAATTTTTATCTTCCCTCTATATCAGGGGGGAAAATAAAACTGGATTGTTCATCTTTCAGCAAATGATCTACAAGTTTAAAACTCCATTTCAGCTTTATTATGGTATGCCTATTTTCTTTCACACACTAAACTTAGTAGTGTGCAGTGGTGGCTGTTTTGCATGATTTAACAAAGTGAAAGGCTTGCAAAAAAATGCAATTTTCCCTAAATATTTTCATGTGTGATAGTAACTTTGAAAATGCATACAATTTATGGCATTTTTTTCTGCTCCAGAAATAGCGTTCTTTGAATATTAAAGTTTTATTTGTAATTCTGAAAACTTTTTGCATCTTTTTTTCTTTCTGATTTTTTAGGTAATGGTACAGAAAAAGCAATTCTGACTGATGATTACAGAGTGAAATGTGAAATCCCATGCAGCAGTAGATACACTTGTGAAAATTGTACTCAAGGCCCTTGCATGTGGTGCAGTAGTCAGCAGATGTGTATTGAATCAAATGCATATGCTGCTGTTTTCCCCGTTGCCCAGTGTATGGAATGGACAACTCAGATGACAAAATGTCGTGGTATGTAGTTTTATTAATTTTCATTCCACATCTAAAACTAAACTATAGATGGAAATTTTAAACTTTCCCGAATACATGTGTTTAAGTGCTTGTAACAAAGTTTAGAAAAGCAAAATCTTGAATAGAAAAATATTTGCACAGCATTTCCATTTCTTTAGATGTATTAGTTTCAAAAGGCAGATCCCCCCTAAGATATGAAATGAATATTTTAATGTTAATTTTTTTAAAGTTATGAATGTTTATTTGCTTAAAATTCTTACTGTGTGTTCCTGAGACTCAACTATGTTCCTTAGCAATAATGCAATACATTAGATTTTAGCATATTAATAAAAAAAATAATTTTTGTAAAAAAATATTGTATGTATATTTTTGGAAATATGCTATTTTCATTTTGTATGATCTCTAGTTATTTTAGATATTTTACTTTACAAAATGATTCATTGTGAGTAATTTAAGTATATATAATGGTACTTACATACTATGACGACTACGTTATTTAAGACAATTTTATTACATTTCTTGTTTTGAACCAAAAATATACACATGGTTAATCTTTGGATTATGGTAACTTGGCAATTTTTGGGCGAAACCTTGGCAACCAACCCTGCTACAGCAACCTGCTAGTTTTGTTTTGGACGCCATTTTGTTTTCACGAAGTAAAGGCATGTTTTTTTTTTTTTTTTTTAACTCAACATTTTTCCCAACAATCTGCTAGCCGAATTACGCTTATAATAGAACTTTTATGGAACAAAAATGCTTAATTATGATGAAGATTAGGTACAAAATTGGGAGAAAGTGCAGAATCGCAAACTGCTTGCCACGTTTTTAAGAACTGCACATACACGGTATCATCCATGTACACGTCGACCTATTTTCACTTAAAAAAAATGCCAGAATTGCACAAAAATGGCTTTGCGCACACTCTGGACTTTACACTGCTAAAGTCCTAGCTAGTAACCTTTATCGCCTTACCAAAATGTCGCCAAAGTACCTGTTACCATATTCCAAAGATTAGCCATAAACATATGTTTTCCCTTGATTTTGTAAATTCATAGTGTGCATAAAACCGGCGACCATTGTAGGTTATACAGGTTAAGATAGGTTATAGAGGGCACTTAAAATAAAGAGTATTATCCTGCACTTGCTATTACCACACCTTTTTTTGCTACATTTACACGAATTATTACATTTAGGTTAAACACATGAAACTTTTTGTAATTATTTTTTTCCCAGTGGATATCATCATTTTTCAACTTCCTTCAAATGAAGAAGCGATAGAATTTTTCAGAGAGCCTGAAATTTTACCCAAGGAACGTGTTTGTAAAGACTGTCATGATATGAAGTTTTATAATTCAGGATTTTATTGGAGATGCAATGTCAAAATTGTCAATAAAAGTTTGCTGTCCGAACTGGTACGTGGTTTGAAAACATTCGTATTGAATTTTTAAAAGCTTTAAGATTTATTTACTTTTGGGCATATGAACAGTTGTGCATTAAATGGTGCAAACACGAATTGGATTTATCCAATAAGACTGCTATTGATTGGAATAACTATATGCATGAAGTGTGTGTGAAGGATTTGGAGGATAATCGAAATATTAAAATTAGAGAGCCCGGAATGATTGTTTAAATTGATGAAAGCCTTTTTACGCGTCGAAAGAATAATGAAGGTCATATCTTGTCACATCAGTGGGTCTTCGGTGGAATTTGCCAGGAGGCAAAAGAATCATTTCTAGTCAGAGTTCCACATTGGAAGGAACAACATTAATGCATGAAATCCAAAATAATATTGCTGAAGGCTCAACAATAATGTCAGATTCGTCGCCTGGATATCAAACAGAGGAGATCATTGCTTGCTGGTTTTGAACATTTTAAGGTGAATCATTGATACAATTTTGTTTGACTCATCTATGCAGACTCGTACTCAATACATTGAAAGGATGTGGGGTTCCGCAAAATGGAGGGACAAGCAACAACGTGGGACAAGCCGCCATCATTTGGATTCCCACCACTTTACCATTAACTTTGTTTTCTTTTAAACAGTTTTAAGTGAGATAATTTTATTTTAATTCATATTTAGTTATGTATATTATTGCTTATATATATATATATATGTAATAATAAAATTCCATAGTCACAAATACACTTAAAATTCTAACTGTATGTTCTTTTCATTTTTAATGGCGACTGTCTCTTATCTGAAAGTACGTGGAATTAAATCCACAGCCCGTAGTCAAGTTGTTTTCCCCACTTTTTCTACATGTACAGTTATAGAATGTTCTGGAGATATTTGAAGCGAAATGAAATGGCTGACAAGGCTGATGTCATTTCGCTTCAAATATCTCCAGAACATTCTATAACTGTACATATAGAAAAAGCGGGAAAAACAACTTGACCATGGGGCTGTGAATTTAATTCCTTGTACTTTCAAATAAGATACCGTCACCATTAAAAATGAAAAGAACATCAGTTAGAGTTCTAAGTGTATTTTTGACTATGGAATTTTAATATTACAAATATATATATACGTTTATTTATAATATGTATATATATATATTTGAGATTTTTGGTTTTTAAGGTTTTGTTCTTTTGTAATTAGGACTTTTATTTTTAAAAGAATTTATAAACATAAATGAAAAAAACAGCAATGAAGATTTTTATTGGCAAATGTTGCCAAGGTAGTCGTTATAGTACGTAAGTACCAGTTTTATTTGCTTATTTAATAAATATTAAGTGGTATTTATTGAAGTAGTTATGAGGTAAGCTGAGATTCCGTGTATATTTATTGGTTTGCAATCAGATGAGATTCACACTTATTTATGAGGTAATCTATTTCCATTTTATCATATCAAAACTAAAGAGAGAAAAATCCTGATTTAAATTATATCTTTGGTGTTAAAATATAAAAGTTGAGGATTTATTAATCACATCAGTATTTTGTTGTATTTTGTGTATATACAGAAATCGGATAAATAATTATCCATATTAAATGTGTATGAAAGGAACTATATCAAATATTACATCAAAGCACCTGTTCTAGGAGAAGGGAAACAAGAATTCATGTGTGTAATGTCTGCATCAAATGATTAATTTTGTATTCAGTCCTAGTATCTTCATACTCGAATCGCATTATACTTGCTACGTATTGTATATAATTAGCTTGTATTAATAACGATTCTAAGAAGTAACCCAGGATATAATGTAGAAAATAGGTGGCATCCGTAGTCACACTCAAGAGTGAGGAATGTGGAAAGTGTGTGAATTATTAGTTAAAATATAAAGATTGGCTGTTTAACATCGTATTCAGAGAAAATGTCAAGATTCTTCAGTTTTTAGTTTTTACCTCGTATAAATATTCCACTAGGAAATATACGAAGGCGAAAGGTTTCTTTCTGAAGTATGGAATGCCATGTAGTTTTTTTTACTGTATTTGTACAACCCTTTATGCATGATGATGACTGTAATCTTCATAAAAGATACTAAACTCTGACCTCTTCCAGAATTCAACATTGATGTGTGCTTAGTCTTACGACAATAAATACAGAAAAGAATCTTTGAAGATGCAGCTACATTGAGCTACCTATTATTGACGGCTTCTGTTCGCCATCCACTGCTTTGAAATGAAGTAATTTAGCTCTTCCACTTTACAGAATTTTCTTCTCACAGCACTAATTCTCCAAGTATAAAAGCTTGGAAAAATTCTCACACTCTTTGATACACTTCTGATGAAAGGCATGCCTTAAAAATGGTATATTTAGATTTGAAATTCTATTGGAATTATCAATATGAGATTCCTATCGCTAACAACATTATCGTTCAGTGTAATAATATATTTATTTCAAAGAAATTTTAGCCTGTGTATTCTATGTGAATTACACGATTCTCAATAAAACATTATGGTTACATGAAATTTTTATTCTGATCATTAGTTGAAATTGTTAGAAATAACAGATGAATTTAAAAGGTATTTTAATTTCATTCAAATGACATGAAATTTGCTATAAAATTACTGTTTGTTAATTACATGTGGCATAAATACAGAGATTAAAACTAATAATATGCTGATAACATAGCATGTTGTATACAAGAATAAGATAGCTGTGCCAGTTATTAAATGTAATTAGGCTTAGCATTGTGGCAATACCTAAGTGTTTTTCATAATTCTACCAAAATACCTTTCATATTTTATTTCTGTAATTTTCATGTTCATTATTATATCAAGGGTATTTATGTTTCAGGCCTGAATTGCCGTGACATTCAAACTTGTGATCAGTGCCAGAAAAATCCTCGCTGTGGCTGGTGTGATGATGGTAGTGGTACAGGTTTAGGAGTGTGTTTGGAAGGCTCTGCATCAGGCCCAGTTGTGCTAAATACTGCTGTGTATTCTTTAAATAACACAATTTGTCCTGCTTCCCAGTGGTATTTTACATCTTGTCCTGGTAATTATTTTCTCACCTTTCTTTACAGATATGTCATATTTATTGTACATTTAAAATTTTAAATATGTAAAAATTAATTTCTATTACTCTTTTTATTAAAAAATTGACTGTACTGACATTACAATAGCTTTCCTCTTTTTTATTTATTTTCTATTTTGTACATAAAAACTTTTTTAAATGTTTAATTCATTACGTAAAAGTATGATGTTAATAGAGAACAAACACCAAGTGTTATATTGCCGGTATAAACAAGCAACAATTTTTAAAATAATATAATGGCTATGCAAATATTTTGTCTTCTGTATATTAATAAACAATGAAGAACATAAGTAAAATTATTTTAAAGATACCTTTGTTTTTGTGTAATGTTGAATGGGTTGCAAAAATTTGAGCCTCCTAGCTAGCATTGGGATAGTGAGCTATTTGCTCTATACTTTACCTAACTAATTGTCTTATTTGAGTTTGTGTGATAATTTCAAGGCACCATACTTTTCTTTCCTCTACTTCTTTCTCAGTAGATTGCATAGTTAATTCCAGTTGATTTGGACATGTTGTGACCATAGCATTTTGGGTGCAATTAAATAACTTTCTCTCCTCCTTAATGTACTAATTTGATCACACTTGTTCTTAAGTTTGATTCTTAAAAATAAATAAATAAAGAGCCCCTTCAAACATTATGAAAATTGGTAAATTGCCGCGTACTAAAATGTTGTAGAAGTTCAGTTTACTTTTGCTAGCTGAATAACTGACATTGACATTTAAAGAAATTTGTTACATTTCTTGTTTACTTGCATATGTAACGAACAAATACATCTTTGAGTATTCTTTAAAGTTGCTCATTAAAATCAAAGAAAATTGAAGAAATGAAAATTAAAAATACTTCTTTTGGGTATGCAAATTTTTACTTATTATTCATGACACAATTCAGTATCCCTGTTTTGTGTAACACTGATGGAGGAGAAATTTTTTTAAAAAGTTTTTGATGATGCATTACCTTATTAATTGCAGCTTTGATCAAAATTAATATGTGTTCTATAAAATAAGCTTAAACTCATAACAAATTTTGAGTGTATTTTATTGAGCATATTCTGAAATAAAGAACTAACATTGAAATTTCTGAATGATAACAATTTTTTCGACACCATATTAAGTTATGCTATCGCATATTTTAATAGTTAATGAGTAGGGCAGTTCATAAAAGCAGAGTTTCAAAGTATTATTCATAAGATGGTTTCTGTCATGAAAGTTGATTGAGTGTTGAAGTGTTATAAGATGTCTACATCCCCCCAAAAAACACCTTCAAGAAGAAAAGTCAGCTAGTTGAACTAAATAATATGGACAAAGATTTTAACTAAATGTAAACAAGTTTGGCTTTAGTGTACTGAGTTCGATAATGACAAAAGAGGTGAGCAGTGATCTGGTTGACTAAGCACATTCTGCTATGGATAGCAATGTTTGCTTTGTTGAAGGTTTTTATTCAAGATATTTACCACATTTATCTGAGCAGTTTTGATAAATAACAATGTTTTCCAGGGGGATAGCATGCAGAGTATCATTCATGAGTATCTTGGCTGCCAGCTGTTTCTTTTTAGTGTCTAAGCAGCTCAGATTATCACAAAAGTATGAGAATTGATTTTATACGCATGATGTGGTTTAATAATAAAAGTGGGCATATGACTTCTGAGACAAAGCAAGTGTCCATGTCATAGAAACGCTCATTATTAATTTCCTGTAAGAATTCAAAATACCTCCTCCTATAAAGAAAATTACGGCAGTGGTCTTTTATGACCATTTGGACATGCTTCTAGTTGATTTTCCCACCAGGGAAGTGACAGTTAATATTGCCAATTACTCTGAACACTGGGCCCATAACGTTTTAAGCGATTTGCAGAAAACTATGAAAATTTTTCTTCAAAAGCATAATGTTCCTACATTACAATACCTGATCACATTCCACCATTATGTGTGATTTGTTATGTCACATCTGTTTAGATCATCCTTCTTACAGCCTGCATCTGGCATCACTTCAGACTTTTGAAGAAGCACTCAAATGTATATTCTTTCACAATTGATGCCGAGTTCAGTAAGCTGCCATGGCATTGCTTCAGTGACTGGGTACTGATTTCTTGGACATAGACATCAATGCTTTATTCTACTTGCATCCTTTCTTTTGTTGCATCATTCTAGGCATATATTTAGGAAAGGAAACTGTGTTAGTAAATGATCTAAAAATCCTGAACTGCTTCAAAGAGTACTACTGTTGTATATCCATATGTAATGAAATGTATATAATGTGTAATGCTTGTACAATTTGTCCATAAGAGGGCTCTTTTTGAATTGTCTTTTTAAAGTGTGCTAACTGATAGATTTTGAACTATAACACTAAAAATAATTACATAATAAATATGCATCTCTAATTTAGAAGTCAAACAAGAAAAATCAGCATTATCTTTGCAAATTTTCACAGGACTAGTTTTGATGGTTTTACTGAACCATCATCCTCATCTGCCAAGGCACAAATGAATGAGATAAGGTAAAGTGATTAGATAAGATAAGCATGGCTGGAGAAAGAAGAACTAAAACATAATTTCCTTAAAGTCTGAAGGCAAAGATGGATTGGAAATAGGGTTTTTAACTAGAACAGAACAAATTTTTTGAATGTGAAACGCCTCTAGAAAATCTTAATTCAATCATTTTTTGAATAATTTTGGCTGCAGAAAAATTGAAAGTGTGATTTTTGGACCAACAATGCTGGGCAACAAAGAACTTCTGTGTCTCCTTTTTTCTAACATATGCCTCATGTTCCTTAATGTTTAATTTTAAGGCTTTCTTAGTTTGACCAATGTAAATTAAACCACACTGGCTAGGAACCCTGTAAATACCCAAGTAATACATATCCGGAATGGGGTCCTTGAGTTTGTTATTATAAAGACTTCTGTTCAACTGTAAGATGTTCATTATTATTTGCTCGAAAAGGCAAAAAAAAAAGTGGATTTGTAACTTTTGATGTTTTTGACCCCTTAGATGATGATTCACTTTCAAACAAATCACTGTTATCTATATTGAGACTATTTTAAGAAGAAAAGGTCAAAAAAGTGTTTTAAGTATTTTTTTTAAACAAGTTAGAAGAAATCTACATTTGATCTTGAGTCCCACAAGCTCGACTCCTGATTACTTGACATTCTATATAACTCTTTTTCTTTTTTTTATATATACATAATTCCTAAATTATTTCTGATGGTTTAATAGAAAGTACCTTTGGAAAAAATGTGCTAGTTTATTAATAGCTAGATTGTAATAATTTCTAACATTGCCTCTATGATTGAAACAGTTTCTGAAACACAACATTTTTTTAAAATTGCCATCGTTTCAGCCCACATTAAGTTTATTTTATTATTGTATTACTGATTTAAGTACTGTATGTGGCAGGTGTCACCTATCAAAGTCAAGTTTGGCACTGAACATGCTTATAAGCAATACCTCATGATTTCAGCTTAAGGGATTAACTGCATATATTTTAAGGGGGAAGTTTTTTTATATGATGATAAAATTTCTGAGTTTTGTTAATATTATATGCAATGAAATGTTTTTCTCAGTACTACTATTCAGTTTTGTGAGATATAATTTATTAAAGTGGTGTGAGATATAATTTAACTCTAATAAAATAATTTATGAACTAATAATTTCCATTTCTATTATATGATTGTCAATTAGCATAATAAAGTTTTGTTATATTTGAAATTCATATATGTTAAATGTTAAATATGAACCTACTTGCCGTGAAAGGTTTCTACTTCCTCTTAGGGAGGAAACTAAACTCTTAAGAATTTTTGCTAATTTCCAAACTTTTATTGATCGTATAGAGAACGGTAAGCATTTTGCGTTGTGAAAAAATGCATCCCGGGACCGCGCCGTGAGAGGATCGAAAACATAAGAAAAACATATACAAGATATATAGGAAAAACATATTAAAAATATAAGAAAACATACTGTAATAGGTTTCCAGATTAAATATCAGTTTATTCAATTACATCACAATAAAATAAAATCTTAACCTCATCTGAGAGTCTAAGGAGAATTCTTCAATTTGTCATTTACCCTTTTTTTTTTTTTTCATTTAAATTCATATAAAAACTTTAAGGTTTGTCTTGGTAATTTAAAGGGGAAAGGGAAACAATTTAATGCCTGAGAATTAATTTAAGATTCGACGCTGTTTTTACATTCCAAGAAAAGTTATTGAAAACCCATTCAAAGTTCAAACACAAAAAAATAGCACTTAACTTGGTTGGACATCTTGAAGTGGAGGACTCGTATCTTAATAAGCGTTGACGTCGGCCGGGCTCATCTTTACACTGGTTCTCATAATGTCGACGTTATTTTACCACTGTAGAACAGAAACAGGAGCACTGCTGCCCAGGACGGCTATCCGCTTGGTCTTGAAAGTCTAAAGTCAACACGCAGGTAACTCGTTCAAATTTCGCCTCTTTACCAGAACGCGGCAAGGGAGCATGTTTGCAGCTTCCGGCCAGCAACGTTTTTTCTAGGCAATTACGGCTCGCCTATTCTTACTCAGCCCAAGAGCAAGCTTCACGAGTAACGTCCAAAAGTCCAGCCAGCCCGTAAGTGAGTGCTACTCGAATTTCCTTCATCTCCTCCACAAACGCGGGCTCCCACTATGGCTTCACTTATTGCCCCTTAATTTTGGCAAAATTTGCGTTTTCAACTCCAGAATGCAGAAATAAGGGTGATCGCGCATGCGCGCCCTTCTTCACTTAGCCAACAACCGGACCCTCAATCGCCAAAAACCTGAATGACTTACATTGAAAGACAAGTAGCAACCTTTGACCTTTTTGTCACGTACTTCCTCTCTTAAGGTCAACTCCACAATGAAATTCCTTCTAGAACATTCTAAAGGACAAGCGCGCGAAATCATGACTTGGCAAAAAAATTGCCTCCCTTTCCCTGCTTCTTTCACAATGAATCAAAGTTTGTACAAGATTTGCAAATAGAGGAAAATAAATAATATTCTTTTAAACTAAATAATATTCCCAGAAGCATCTGTTTTTCCCCAAAATTAAAGCTTTAAAATAAATAATTCAGAATCAAATAAAAATTAAGATTTCCATAAATCAGAAAATCATTCACATAGTTTTTATAACGCTATCAGACAAATTCTCTACACAACAGTTTCTGAGTTGTGTTAATATTATATGCAACAAAATGTTTTTCTCAGTGTTAATATTGTTATTGGTGTTTGTGAGATACAGTTTAAATAAAATAATTTATGCACTAATAATTTTCATTTTTAGTATATGGTTGTTTATCAGCAATATAACATTTATAAATAGTTATTTTTTAGTAAGAATTAAACTTTTAATTATATATTATCTATTACTCCATCACAATAATTCACTCAGACTAAAAGCTTATTTGAATTTAAGTTCTGTGGAAGTGAGGTTGGCTTCTAAACTCAAACTAGTGCTTCTGTTTGAATCACAAGTAGGTATTGACTTTGGTTGGAGTACTTAGTGTAAGTGAGATTATTCATGAACTGTAATTAGGCAGGGACTTAGGTAGATCTGATTTAAAGGTAAGAGGAAGTAGCAATTTAAGGTGTCTTTTTATGCAAATTAGTTATTGATATTTGTATATAGTTATTGATATTTAGCAGTTAGCTTCTTTGGAATCTGTGTTACAAGTCACACAATTATTATTATTATTATTATTATTATTATTTTTGTACATTATCTTTAGTTTGCATGACGAGCAGTGGGATAAAAAAATGAATTGATATTTAGTTGTGTTATTTCTTGTGTTGCTAATAACATGGTGTGGCTCTTTATATAACTGTCACTAGATCAAGTTTGCCAGAGAGTATTTTAGCTAAGAACTAGAATGTAATGTTTTTTAAAATTAAATCTAATTTTTTTTAACTTAAAAATATTTTATTTAGTTTGATTATTCTGTAATGTTACAATTGTTGCAGAGATTAATAATTCTTAAATCTTTCAGCCTGCCAGTGTAATGGACATAGCACTTGTGTTAATGGCACTGATAAATGTATTATGCCATGCCAGCATCTTACAGAAGGTATGCTGATTTCTTAACATTTACGGTTTAGTTATAAACATTATTTTTTAACTATGCTAAATTCAAATAATAGTTTGGCAACAAAATCATCAAACCACAAAACTGGAATTCTGTTTATTGTTAGGAATGGGTGCATGTAATCATCAATGGATTTTAGAGAGTGAATTCTTAAAAGTTATTTTCTTTGAAAATCTTCTAGATGCAGAATCATACTTTTTGCATTAAAATTAAAAAAAAAAAAAAAAAAAATAAAAATAAAAAAAAATAAAAAAGGTGTATTTTATCTTACTTGACTAACTCTTGTAAAGAATTCATTGGCAATTTCGTTTATGTACATCTTCCAGGGAGAATTTTAATATTTTTCTACAAATATATTTAGTTGAATGATTAAGTTTTTCTATCCTTATTTAGTAAATAAGCAATGTGCAAAATCATTTCAGTATACATGTGAAACGTTTATCTGTATATCTATATGTATATCTGATCTTATTTCACTTAATTTTAACTGTAAATTAGGATCTGCTTTTAATTTTGTTCTGTATTTATTTTTCGAATGTAATATAAAAGAAAATCCTTGTTCACACAAATAAGTTTTGCAAAAAGGGATAAAAATTTAATAATAGCTTTATTTGAAATGCTTAAATTCTTTTTTTCATTTCAGCCGAAAGTTAATAGCTGTTTTGATATTTTCATTTAGAGTTGAATTGCATGAAATTTCTATCAATTGTTCTTTTCCTTCACAAAATAAACTTTTCAGTACATTTGAACAAAATGGATTTCTAATTTTAATTTTCACATGATTTTCTTTTTCATAATCCATGGGAAAATACATGTTGAAATTATTTATCAATGAGTAACAATGATTTTTAATGTCGGATGCTAATTCTTTTATTTTCAAATTATTTTTGGTTAGAAAACTTTCCAAAAGTGGTAAAAAGCTTAAAATATCATTATCCAATTCTTTGATTATTAGCTCGAGTTTTTTATCATGCATTTATTTTATCTGCAATGGTAAACAAATTAACATTTGTCAATTTAATCCTAAATTTAATTTATTTAACTTTCCAAAAATATTAGCTAAATATGCAAAAGGAGCCAACCATAATTCACTAAATAGGCAATTTTTGCAATTCAGATTTTGAATCACAGAGGAAAATTTGTATTTCTGATTGAAGTTCAAAAAGATGATTAAAATTTTGCCTATGTATAACCACCTGTTAAATTTAATCTCCATTATCAATCTCAGGACGGCTAGGGGTAAGTTGGGCTTTCACTTTTCATTCAATCGGGATAACTCTTGCATTTTATAAATGCTTTATTGTTACAACAATTATATACATATATACATATCATTACGGAACATTCTTAACATTAATCCTTTTCTCTCGCTTCCCGATTCTCGATTGATATCGTGCGCCCCCTATCGGCGGCTTTTCTACAATGCCATCTATCGGCTGATAACATTTGGTCATTCTGACCTGACAATCGTCCCGATTGTTTAGAGTAAAAATTAATTTTATAATTAATACAATTTTCTACTTCGACTCTTATACACAATACTAAACATACATATTACTAATACACTAAGAAGAATACACATTATTCTAAATTTTGATATGATAATAAACTTACTAAACTATTTTCACATACATAAATTCACATATTTTCTGATACATTAGCATAATAATCGAAAATTTTCTGGAAATCATTACAAATACGTTATATATATGAAATAACTCAATTTTTTTTTCAGTCCTAAAATAATTCAAAACAAATGCACTAAAGTCTTTCAGCTAATGTTCAACAGTTCAAAGTCAATTAATGTTCAAAAGTTCAAAGTTTCTAAGGTTTTCTATCAGCAAGCATACGTAAATAAGCACACACAAACAAAAAAAGGAAAGATCTCACCTTAATCACAGGGTAGAGAACTTCCATCAGCCCTTACGAACAGATCTGATTGGATTCCGTCAAGGAATTAAGCTTGATAACTGGTCAGTATCTTCATCGTCCCCGTCGTCATCATCATATTAAATCTGGGAGAATATCCATGTAATCAAATGGAGTCTTATTTGTAGTTTTGTTTATCATGTTGTTAAGATTTCTTTCTGTCTCTTTTATTTTTTAATCCCAATCTCTGTGTTGTTTATCCATCCAACTTGTCATTATCGTTCCTAAAATTTTTCTGTTGACGTGCTCTACCATACCGTTGGCTTGGGGCTGTTTGATAAAATTCAAAGTATGATGTATTCCGTTATCTGTACAATACTGCTTAAATTGGTGAGAAGTAAAACAAGATCCTCTATCACTTATTATTCTTTCCGGTAGTCCAAAATCATTAACAAAATTCTTCAAAGACTGTAAAACATTTTTAGCACTAGTATTCTTAACTGCAAAAATTCTCACGAACCTAGTCATGTTATCAATTATCACTAATAGTTCTTGATTACCTCTCGAACTCTTTACGAAAGGACCCAAGTGATCCATGTGAACAATAGCAAACGGTCTTTTACCAGGTTTTATGGGATGTAACACAGTCCTTGTTGCTTGCCACCTGTCGCTTTATTCATAAGGCACTCAATACATGCTGATATGTGTCTTCGTACGTATCGTTTCATGCTTGGGAACCAATATAATTCCTTAATTTTGCTAACTGTTCTATCCACAGAAAAGTGACCAAATAAATCATGGAATTTCACCACTACACTCTTCCTCATGCTTTTTGGAATCACATAGAGTAGTCTCTTTCCTTTCCATCCACTACGGTTTTCCAAAACAGTCTATTCTTCTTAAACACGTAATTCATAATTATTTTTTTCTCCTCAGCAGGTCGTTCCTCTTGTTTCTTTTTGAAAATTTCGATAATTCTTTTCAGGTCATTGTCAGCATGTTGTATCATTAGTATTTGCTCTTCTTCGGTTAGGGACTGGCAGACTTCAAAATTTTCAGCTATTCTTGTCATTGTATCATCAGCTTCTGATACAGGACCTCTGCTCAAAGCATCAGTATGTGATAGTCTTTTTCCTGACCTATGCTTTATCTCAAAATCGTTTTCTTGAATCAAACTACACCAACGGGCTATTTGAGGATTTGTAGTCTTCTTCGCATTCATATATATTAGAGCTTGACAGTCAGTAATAATTGTAAATCTTATGCCGATTAAGAACTGTCTTAACCTGTCCAACGTCCATACGATGGCCATTAACTCCAATTTGCTGGAATGATACTTTCTCTCTGCTTCTGTTGTTTTCTTACTGACGCAATAAACAAGATGCCATTTTCGATCTTCATCACGTTGCATTAGCATTCCACTCAAACCTTCTGCACTTGCATCACAATGGACTTCAGTATCTGCATGCGGTTGATAGTGAGCTAATATGGGCTTATCAGTCAGTTGTTTCTTCTTCAATAGTTCGAACGACTTCTTTTGTTCTTGCTTCCACTCGAAGTCTCGATTCTTCTTTGTCAATCTGGTCAATGGTTCGCTCTTTAACGCATACTTCGGCACAAATCGTCTGAAAAATCCAGTCAGGCCCAAAAATCTTCGCACTTCGTGCACATTCTTTGGTTCTGGAAATTCTGTTATGGCTTTTATTTTTCTAGATCCCGGTCTAATACCATCTTCGTTTATAATAAAACCTAAGAAATCTACTTCTCTTTTCCCAAATTCACATTTAGATAATTTCAAGGTTAAATTTGCTTTTCGTAGGCATTCTAATACCTCTTTAAATTTGAAAATCATCTCTTCCCAAGATTTTGCAGGAATAAGTATATCATCCATATAACACAACACCTTAGTATTCAACAAGGGGCCTAGGACATATGACATTAGGCGCTGAAACTCAGCAGGAGCATTTACTAACCCAAATGTCATCCTTTCGAACTGTCCTGTTTCATCTGGAGTAATGAACGCCGTCTTCAATTTAGCTTCTTCACTTAAGGGTATTTGCAAATAGCCATGGGCTAAATCCAGAGTAGTGAAAATTTTGCATCCTCCTAAACATTCTAAAAGATCATCTATTCGAGGCAAAGGGAAC